CTCTGATAGCAACTGCGGGCCAAATAAAGAACGTTTTCCTCAATGGCGTTTAAAGCTGCAAGCTCTATCTTTAAAACTCGGAAAGATTTTCATTGTATTTTCCATTAATTATTTCTAAAAGGTTTACAAAAACCTTATGTCATATCTATTTTTTTTTTTTGAATTTAGGCCCTAGCTGGGAGAGAAAGTTTAGTTGCAGTAAATGAAATTTTCTTTAGTTAAATTCTACACGAATTCGTACTACATCGGTTACTAACTTTGTCTTTTTATGCTCTGCATCTACTGACCGCTACAAAAGTGTTACGTAAACATTGCGACCAGTGTGGCTGACTTAAGACATTTGAGGCCCGTGTGGTAGCCTTAGAAAAAGGCGAGTCATATGATATGCCTAAGTTTTGTGGTTGTTATCAGTTGGAATTACAGGTCATTTTCAAAATTAAAGGCTATGATTGCCTAAAACACAAACAAAGCCACCTATTTAATCCACGGGTAACTTACCGTTGGAGCAACAACAGTAACAGATATGTAAACAGCTTTATACCCGAGACCCAAGTCGACAACAATATCAATAATATCTGAACTATCATCGGTGGAGTTTTATTTATTGGATCTGGAAACGGAGTGGTTGTAGAGTCATCTGTAGAGAAGATGGCGTGAAAGGTGCGTTGATATTTAATCCATCTCAATGCGCTACTGCAAATCTAACGTGACAAAAAGAATCCTCAACGGAAAAACATGCGTCAGTAGAGGCAGGTAAAACCTTATTTTTTTGTCATGAAACCGCCAGATAAATTCAAATTCAAGTAAAAATGACTAGCAAATAATTATACCATAGTAAAATTCTGTTGTCATCAAAATGTGTTCAAGAAGCTGCATCAAGCTCTAAATTTGGCTAAACTTGATGAATTGATCCTCATCACAGAGCGTTTGCAGATGAATCCAAACAAGCAACCTACGGCCATGACTTTATAAGTACCACGTTGCCGATGTCTGATTAAAGCCAATGGAAAATTCCGTGATCACGCACTTTGAAGTGCAAATGGAGCGAGCATTTTAGGTAACGTGACGGCTATAATTTTTGACTGAATTTTTTCCGCAAGTACAACCAGTTCATGCCTAGAAATCACAGTTTTGTCCAGTTGTTTCTTCTCTATCGGAAATAATCAAAAGTGCACAGCTTGTGAACGACGCTCTTGAGAGACATCTGGTCCCGCGACTTTCGGGTTAGTGTTTGAGGACCAAACTACAAAGTATTCTATAGATTAAAGCCGTTTACAATGAGGATTCAGTGATATTTGCCTTGTGATTATTTGAGGAATGGCGTGAACCTCCATATGCCTGTTTGTGGCTAGCAAGTGGCCCTTAAACCCTAGCTTTTGTGAAGTCATGGAAGCACCTATTCGGCTTCTTTTAGTTACATTGATCTTAGTTGATTTGGAATAGACACACACTACTTCTACCGCCCCCCATTAATCCAACAAGATCATGCGAAGTGTCATACACACTTTTCACCAATAAACTCATTTCAACGAATTCTTGATGAGTTGCTATCCTAGAACTTAAGACTGATAAAGTTTTTTTAATATTATTTGTTTGTCACCGCAAGCGGCCAAAAGACATGGTCGTGGTTAAGGTTTTAGTCACGGTTTACCACATGCCTTTGCAGCTAATGACTTTTTACACAGAGCTGCAGTGATCCAAATATGCCCTAAATTTTGGTATTGATTCAAACAATGATTGATAAACATAACGGAAGTGTCAGCAAAGTGATCTATACAATAAAATGTGCAAGCCCATGGGTGACGGGAAATAGGGCTATTGTTGTGAATAATTATGAAGTAAGAGGGCCCAAGTAGAAAAAACGTTATCCAGTGGACAGACTTGGTAAACTGAGTCTCAAAAGGTTACATTCTCCACTCTTACTGATGGCTACAGAGATGCATCTGCTTGTGAGACTGCTTGGGATTCAACATTCTTACGCAAGTTGGGTATGAAAAGACACTCCATTGCAAAAGCAATAAATTAAAGGTAAGCGTGCGAAGTAACTTACACAAAACTCTCGGTTTATTAAGAAAGTATTCTCCTCCACATAAAGATGATTCCTATTCTGGAAAGCATATTGTGAATGTATCATGAATATTGGGATTTACTATCACCAAAGCGTTCTTTTGGAATGATAGTTTGTTAGATCGTACCCAGACAAGCTTGTGATATAGTTATTAATGTGACAAAAGCTCTATTCAAATGCTACAAAACTTTATGAATATCGGTTGGCATGAGAAGCTTCAGCTTGTTTATAGTCTATAACTGTGGAACACGTTAGACACAAACATTAGCCATGGCAGAAAATCTCTAATTAAGATAAGATGTTCATATCTAACAAACTCATCCCGCCTACTGACGACAGAGCGACATCATCTACAGGCACAGAAATGATGGTTTTAGTCATACGTCACAAATAACAACATGAAACTGCATAAACTTGACTGAATCTACCACAGTTAAGGGCAGATCTGAAAGTATGAACCTAATTACCGCTTCAGCTAATTGGACGCAAGCTGTACTTAGTCGAGACAGGGAGACAGAAATTGTCTCTTTAATTTTTTTGGGCTTCTAAGCACTTGGCGCCACCAAGTTTGGTGGCAAACCCAAATATCCTTCATTTTTCATCTCCCCTCTTCAGCTACATAGTAATAGTATCAAGCCATGGGTCCTGGTTTAATGATCACCGCTCTGGATTGTCAATGTTTTGTTGAATACCACTAGTTTACCACCGTGGCACTTTGACTGTCTGCCAAAAACTCGTACACAGGTTGCTCAAGTTTAAAATGTAAGTGCACGTTAACAGTGTGTTTATTCACCTGAAATATCATCTAGATACTAAACTTAATCACCTCACTGAAGAGCTTCCGCAATATTATTAGGCCAGACCATACACAACAGACCGTGCTCTTTGTATCATCCAATCGATACTCCAGACCAAGGTTGCTGTGGATATCCTGGATGAACCAATTTTTTGCGCTTTTATTTGCACATACCTCAAGCTGGCTTTGTGTAACAACTGAGTGACAATTTTAAGCCTCTCTTGACATATCTGAATCACTGAAACCTCGGACGAAAATACTTGGATAACCGGATTTAGCCAAGTTACACTCAACGCTGAAAGGTAGCTGGAAGCTGGTGACGGTAGATCCATCTATGTGACTTCATGCAGCATCAGGCTGTCGCTCCTCAACGTTCATGGCAAACAACGTGCACGAACATTTGCTTGTGAACAGAGCAACCACTAAGTTTGCGTCGACCGAATGAAACATAGGATATCCACTGTGGTATCTCCTTAGGGCACACTGACGGTAGACCTCTAGTGAAAGGACAGGACCTTAAATTGACTCACTTTTTCAAACAGACAATTCTTCCTCATATGAATATTGACGCCTTGGCAACCTGAACGCGTTTTTTGTCTATCAGCGCATGTTTTGAGTGCTCATTCCTTTTCCTTCGCCGGGTTAAAAGCAACAATGAATTCGCGTGCTCTTGCTTTAATTTGCGTCAGTTAATTATTAACAAGGGTAATTCTTTCCTCAGAATAAGGGAACACATGTGTTGCATTCAGCCCTGATAGGCATTTGTAAAATATTCACACTGCTGTGAGGAACAGCTGGTCAGTAACATATCCCTTCCGGTTTCAGGAAATATCCCAGTTCTTGTCAGCCCCCTCTTTTTGTTGTCATTTAAGTGAAGGTATTGAGGTGGGTGGTGTAAAATTTCGTCAAAGTTCGTTTGTGTTCATTTTTATACAGGGCTGAGTTTAGCTAAAGAGCAGGGAGGAGCTAATCAGAATCAATGAATTTTAGGCTATCTTGGAGCTACGAATTTACCATCTAAGTACCAAGCCTAGACCTGGCCACCATATGAATCAATATACTAGCCTAGTGACCATAAGTATGGTGCCCTGTTACTTGTCGTTACTTAGTTAAATCGGTTAGATGGGTCGTTTTCATGAAAAAAAAGGCATGATACTATGTTATCAGATTAAAACCGAGAAACGGTCGTCATTAATTCAAACCACCACCTAAAATATGCAAGCTTTTTATGAGAACGCCTCTCCACAAAATTTAACCTAGCAATTCATATGAAATAACTTCAAAAATCACAACTTAGTTCACGGTAATCCCATCTAGTAGTACGGTTAAGTTTTACAAAACTAGCCAGGTGTTATTCACATAAAGCTGTTCGACCACTACGCATCTGTGCCATTCACTGTCTTTCGGTCATCAGTCATTCACTTGCGTTCATACTGGCAGTGCCGCTTGACAATACAATGAAAGATAAAAAAGTTGAACTGGTTTTCAAAAAACAGTAGACAAATGATGGTTTCAATCATAATAACTATGTCTGCGTGTAAAAATCTTAGTTCATTCATTATGTTTGGCTCTTGTTTTCAGTGCACGACGCCTTTAGCTGGGGAATATGAAGCTCACTCATACTACATGTAGAATTCAAAGTATCCACCAACATCTTTGTCTGGCAGCCTGCTGGTAGTTGAGTACACCAATTAATTGGCTCTATTTGTCTTAAGCAGTTAAAATACTTCATGTGCAGATGTTCGTACCAGACTGGGCACCATTGAGTTGGCGAACGGATAAGTTGCTGAATACGGAGAATGCCGGATTTGCTTGATTCTTGTAAGTCACATGATGTAAAAAATCACTGCTGTTCCACTGAGAACATTTTATTTGAGCTGCTCACTTTGGCCGAAACGTAACTTTCAGGAGAGTAGACAGCTTGAGTCGATTTTGTTCTACTTTCCACATTCACCTGAAAAAATTGGTTATTCACTGGTTTACTTGGTAAAGGTTGGTCCCTGCACGGTGCAGAACGAGACATTTCCCCACTTCCCTGTAAAAAAAACCATTTAAGAAGCTGAATTTCCTCGTACAGCTTTTGAATGTCTCCTGAAAATCCGAATATTTACAAGTTTTTGTTTACATTCTAGCTAGATTTGCCTGATGTCACGAGAACAAGATCTTAACAAAGAAGATGCAGCTACTTACGCCAAAAACGACTTTGGAGCAGATAAGTTTGAAGCAGACGAAAGACATGGGGTCGAAGAAGAGTCTGTCATTCCGAATCTACAGGACAACAATAATGCGGATGAAAAATCGGAACCTGAAAACCTGGAAAAGGAGGAAAAAGAAATGGAAGCTTCGGAAGCCAAGGTTCTCGTAACGCCTGTAGAATCTGATACGGAAGGTAATCCGGACGATAGCAAAAACGGTGATGACGGTAGCAAATCACAAATTGTTTTCTCATCGACCGCCAAGGGTGGAGTTCAAGGTAAAGAAGAAGGTGTTTCAGATGAAGATCTGTATGAGGAAAGTGAAGTTGAAGTTTTTCGAGCAGAGCTGAAGCCCAAAAAAGTTATCGATCCCGAGTTCACTTATGAAGTGGAAGAGCTTGTATCTAGACCTATAATTAGTAAAGACTCCGGTATCCCGGAGAACCTGCTAACTGTATTTCACTCGTTTGGGTTTGATGCATTACGAAGGGAAAATCTACAGCTTCTTGCTAACGACACAGTGTGTTACGTGAATGGCAACTACCTGGAGATCCTCAATATTACGACCGAGCAGAAAACACGGCTACGAACAGTTGGCGGAGTTGGTATCGGGGCTTACTCGGTACATCCTGAAAAGATTGTAATTGCAGTCGCAGAGAGGGGTGAAACTCCACCAGTATGTATCTATCGGTATCCAAGTTTGGAGTTGTACCGGATGCTTACCGAAGGAACACAAAAGGAGTATTCAGCATGTCAGTTCAGGTGAGCTATGGACTGACCGTTTTGTTCTTACTCAGCAGAACCTATTCTCGTTTCTTTTTTCCAAACTTTCAGGCGTTTGGCACATAGAAGGAATAAGTATTAAAGGGGATTTCGGAAAGCTGTTTTGTTATTTGTCAATTTAGACTGAACTCCACAGCACAAAATCTCACTAGTTGAAGAATGCTACTAAATTTGCGTGCCATCCACAATAGTTGGGCTTTTGACCCAACCGAAATAGGAGCTCTCTTCAAATGCAACTGGCTTTCGAGCCACCATTGATAACGCTGCATCGGAAAATCGTTGATGAACTTTCGTGCAACTGCAATTTAGCCGAAGACATTACTGAAAGAGACATAAGAAAATAGAAGACAGAAGGGAATTATCCAGTACTAACTTGATGCAAGCTTAAAACACAGATGATCAGTCAGATAGACTAGATAGAAGCTGACCGGGGAATCGAGCTTCCTGTTCTAAAAATAGTGCAGCCACGATAATTCACAATGATTTCGCTTACAGGAAATCCTTTGGGGATCCGCTGCATGGATGAGATGGATCAATCTCGAGGTATCCCAGGCATATCAGTTTTACGATCCACAAACTACTCACAAGGAAGTCAAAACGAAATCGACCGGCAAGTCTGAGTCCTTTGTAGTGTTGCATGGAAGAATATTTCCCACCGGTTAGCCAGTTGACTGACGCGAATAAGGATGGTATTAGGTCATTGTTTGAAATGTTAGGCGAGAACACATTGATCAAGTGCGAATATGTTTGTCTGTTCAGAGAGGTGGGCCTGTTCTGGTAGAATATTTGCAACACGCTTGCCTCTAACGTCGGATGTTTACAATCTGAATTTTAGAAAGACCAAGAGTTTGCGCTAGTAATCGGCTGAGATCCACTTTCAGTAGTGTGAACTACCAGAATAATCGTGCTAGGATAGAAAATCTAAATCAAAAGTCCCATGATTGCACATTCCGCCATTAAGTGAAAGTAATAAAAGCGGCCTGGTTTACTTGTTCTTAACTAAGTTTAGTATAGACAGTAGTGCAGCCGTCAAAACTTACCACATAAGAAATAGATTAATTTATACTTTGTGTTGGTACGGATGGCAAAAGTATGCAACATCAAGGTTGTGGCGTGGGTTCAAGATGGCGTACGGAGGTCTTACGACCACCTTGACAAGTGGGGAAATGCACAGGTCACGGAGTTCATCAAGCATTTGAAATCCGCATCAACGTTGATGAGACTAGAAAATAAAATGGATTGTGCAGTTATTATCTTCACTGTGACACTCCTTATTCAGTATAAAATCTTAATACTTAATTAGTAGCAGTAAGTAAAACGTCCACAATGTAATTGCATCTTACATACGTTACAAATGGGGACTGTAGAAGTGAAGCCAAAGCATTAAAGGTATGGCACACTCTACAAACGCAGTGCTGCTGACCCAACCAGACTTATCGATGCAATACTTTAGTACCTACACAAAACTTTTCCTCGTGTTGAGAATAATGTGCTTCAACATCTGGTGAATCGAGAGTTTCCGGAAATACCTGGTCACGTGGGATCTCAAATAAAACGCATGGAAGATCCGGATGCCTTCCAGAAACTTGGCTATATATATTGCAAACTACTGTGGGCTAGGTTGATAATGTCGCCATACACAGGTCTAATTGGGTAGTGGCCAACCAACCATATGAACCTTTGCTTGTTTCGAAACAATCCTCACCAAAACATTTTCAAACTGCAGAACGCAGCGGAACTGGAGCAAAGAAAACCTTAACTCCCGCCACTCAACTAGGTTGACCGAAGCAAAAACTGATGCCCCTGAGTCTGGACTGTTTATCAGTCGAGCGCCCTTACATGCTTGAACCAAGGTAATTTATGGTGTGTGCAGCAAGATTTACACTAGATCCATGGATGTTGATCATAGAAGACTCTTTCTTCCAAAAGTAACCAATCTTTGCTGGAGATTGTGATCGCTTACCCAAAGACATAACTTACAAGTGAAATCTCTCTAAACCTTGTTAGGAATGTAATGTTAAATTACAAAATGTCTACTCATTAAAATAGAACCAATACAGACTTCTTTTTGATTTTTGGATAGTGTTTGGTTTCGAATTCCAGAAAAATCGAAGACTTCGTTTGCTTCACGTCACATCGTTTTTCTTAGCCTAATTGTACTTATCAGTTTATTAGTAGATTTTACCTCGTGGTTCTACAACCGAGGCGTGAACTGCTCTTAAACATGGCTTTTACAAGTTAGGATTTTCTTAGATCCTAGGTCTACTCTGCTTTCTATCTAGGGGTTGACTGATCAGACGAACTTATGCATGCAGACAGTAGAACGATTACTTTGCGTGAGCTAGTTAGCGCACTGTAGATTATTAAACTAAATCCAGTTCAATAACACGTTCTTTGGTCGGTGCCAAATCACACTATTATTGTTTTTTTTTGCAGCCCGGATGGTGAATATTTTGCCAGCGTTGGTGGTGATCCAGATTATATGCTGACCCTGTGGGATTGGCGAAACGAGCAGATTGTACTTCGAGCAAAAGCCTTTTCTCAAGACATCTACCGCGTCGCGTGGTCAGCGGACCTACCTGGTGTTCTGACCACAGCTGGAGCGGGGCATATTCGTTTCTGGAAAATGGCGGACACATTCACCGGACTGAAGCTGCAAGGAAAGCTGGGCAAGTTCGGCAAAACTGAACTGTCAGATATTGAGGGATTTGTTATTCTTCCTGATGGAAAGGTTCTCACTGGTTCGGCCTGGGGCAACCTGCTAGTTTGGGAGGGAGATCTGATCAAGGTGCAGATTTCCAGGAAAAATAAACGCCCCTGCCACGCTGGATTAATTATGCATATCGTTATGGATGAAGGTGAACTAATGACAGTCGGACAAGATGGATGGATCAGAGTGAGTTTACCGGATATCAGACATTCTTGCTTTGAAATCCGTCAGCTTGTTGGGAAGAGACATCGGTGGACGCTGAACTGTGCGGGCAAATGATACATCCCGGTTTCCCAGGCCAAGGAAGGGGGTTTGGTTGAGGTACTCCACCTTGAGACTTCGATTCAAAAGTCTGACCCACGAGACAGTGGGAGAATGTAGGGTTTTGTTCGGGGACCCTGACCCTAGCCTCTGACTCAAGAGTTTGACCCACGAGGAAGTGGGAGAATGTGGGGTTTTCTTTTGGGGACCCTGCCCGGGCCGATGACTTCAATAGTCTGACCTGCTCGGCTGCAGGGGTTTGGCCTAACCCGAGGGCGCAGGGAATAAGGCATTAATGTCTCATTTCTGATGCGGCTGCGCACAGCAAGTGCCTTTTGAGCAACACCGGGCGCTTTGGCTCTAAAAGTATTTCGCCCGCATTGGATAATGCGCCGGCGGTCACGGTCAACCGTTGGGCGATCGGAGTGTGCGGATTTTGGGGCCAACCTTTTCTAACCCGTCCTTCCTCGGGGGAAGGCAGCATCGCTGCTTCCATAAATATGGACATGCTGGTCGCCTGCCTTCACACTCCTGTCGCAGAGGACAGTACGACTTTACCCCCAGACCGCCTCGTACCACGATTACTCGTAGTGCGGGGTCTCGCTGCTCTTGGTCTGGCTGCTCCCCTTTGGCCTTCCTGGCATGGTTGCACCTTGTGGAACGAAGTTCCAGCCAGTGTAGCCCACGGGATCATTGCAGCACTCAAGCCCGACCACCACGTCAAGGTGGCAGCTTTAGGTCGGGTGGCAGCTTGTAATCCCATCTAGTGTAATTGGTAAGTTTTTGTGGTTGGCAGAGAAGAAAGAAGGTGTAACAGAGGGCTTGACAGATGAGCGTAAATTAGACTAGCAGCGGCCTAGATTGTATTAGTACGAACTGACCTTCAGCCACAGAGCCATGATACATACATATATATGGATAGTTGTCATCCGAATCGACCTTGTCTGTCACCAGTGGTCGAAACATGTGCGTACATATGAGGACATAGATCATGGGCGATGGAAATGATGCAGTTGTCATCAGACTTATTCGAATTTGTTGATTATCTCAGATGTACAGATCCTTCTGAATCATTGCGGCCGGTGGTACTTTAACACCATCCATTTTCCGTTACATTCCTCTGTTAGTGCCAGATTACTTGGTTCAGTCATGCAACGCTAAATGGACTATTTGCAATGTAATTTCCGGAAAAAGAAAGTAAAATAATGATAACAATAAGTGTAATATTCGGGTATTGGAAACATTCATTCGTAATTAGAAAATTTGTGCCGCGAGAGATCTGTTCCATTTTATTTGTTCCGAAGCTTTTGTATCAGTACATTCATACCCCTCAAATCGTGAGTAATGAGAATTAACAAAAGTATCAATTGGTGGAGGGCGCACAAGATTCACGGAGATGATTGTAAAATTGTTGAAAGGCACTTATGTTAAGCATTATATGGTGAAATACCGTGGTAGTCTGTGCAAATATGGGATGCGATTAAACTGGTGTTGTTGTCATAAACTGGGTTCGTAGCAGTGGATTCTAATTGTTCTTGCTATGTCTACCAACTTGTAACTGCACTCGAAAGGCAGTCTTAGAGCCAGTGTTTAAATGACCAAAAAGTGTAAAATGGGGCCACCAAGTTTTGGGGTGTTTCTTAAAATTAACTGAGCTAGCAAATATTCTCATTTTTTTAACTGGTGGATATTCGATACTTTCTTGTCCTTCACTGCAGGATCACGCGGCCACCGGCCGCTCTTAACAGTAAGTAAAATGGGTTTGATACAACCGCTTGTCTAATTGGGATTCGCTTACTGTTCACACCAGTCAGTTGGAGTGAAGTTCTCTGTTTGGTCGACTCTCTGAGCCTGTCTAATGGGTCCCAGAAAGGCCTTAAGCGGTTGCATCCGAGGTCCAACTTCATCTTCACCATCAACATTCAGTTACCTTTCAATTCCATATTTTGATAATTATCAAGTCCTTCACGAATTTTGAAGGCTACTGAGCTAAAATTATCACTACCTGTTAGCTTATATGAGTCAATCAACAGCTAAATGTGTGATGAATCACATGTGTTCGCCCCAGTTCAGCTGAGCAGGCACCGGAAACGCTAAACTAGTTTCTACCACAGGAGACCCAGCACTGATTTGATGGAACAGCATATTTCGTACACGTTCTAGTTTAAACAGTTCGTTAAGTCCCGCTTCTTCTGTATTAAAAACACCAGAAAGGGTACTTACAAAACCACTATGTGTTACAAACCCACTAGTCAGAGAATGACTTCCGACTCTAATCCTCGCTGTACGTCCTGTACAGTCAGGAGCATTGAGTAGGCCTATCAGGGTTCTGCCTTCTTATCAGTCAAGATGCATTGATGAGGTACATCAACCGTTAGATTGTCGAGAAGATCATCTAGTCAAGAGTACAGATAAACTGACTAGCCATAGTCAACTCAAAGAAAAATATCACTTTCTGATAATCTAGTCACCTTACGCCATGTACCCCACCTAGTGTGAGGCTATATTTTCCGTCTGGTCTATTTCTTTTTATCCGTTGGGAAATTTGCTGAGTGTCTACCTGAGAAAACGGTGGCTCCTAGAGCGACCAAATCCAAAGTAGTATGTTTGTCCAATAAGGAATTACCAATGATTCAGGCTTACAGCCGTTATTCCATTATTTGTTATTCGTTTTTTCTTCCTTCGAGACCTGGGACTTCGAAACAGTTGATACTGCAGAATGTCTAGAGGAGGGCGCTATTTACGAACTGGAGCCAATGAATGAACTGCTAGTGAAACCAAACTCCAAACTCATGCATCTAGTCAAGGTCCAAGGTGAAGACTCCACGTTATGGTATGCTCAAGTAAGCGAACATTCATATCATTTTATAACATCGTTTGTCCGTTGGAACCAACAAATACTGTGAACATGAAAAGACTATCTGCTGGTTTGATTCAGTTCAGTTTCACTTAAAACCCTATAGATTAGGCCTTAGTTTACTAGCTTTGCTGTTATTGACTCATTGCTTCGCTTATTTTTTAGCCACAGAGAAAAGAACCTCGTTGAGATGAAAAGAACATAATGTGCACGATCTTATGACCCCAATGTGATTGACACACGCGTTTTTTTAAGATTCTGGGTATTCTAGGTGCTTCGGGTCTCCTTGAAAGTACAATTCCGCCAATTACCAATTAAGTTAAAACAACATTTCTCGGCTGTACAGCCTCATTTGAAGCAACTTTGCAAGGCAAACAGTTTAATCTTGGGATGTCCACACTACTTACATCACAAAAGTAAGCAAAAGGAGACAGAACATTTCAGCTAGCCTCACTCTGACAAGCCGTCACTTTGGATACAGCTGCACACCGATTCATTGTCCACACTAACATGTGTTTATTCGACATCTAGTTGAATATAGTTCACACTAGGCCTTGACTGACCCTCGGTCCATCAGTAGCAGAACGCTACTTGCACCGCTTATTGTTAGGGTTGGATAAATGGAAAAGAAAGTAGGTGTAGCTTATGTAGGGTTGGAAGTCTATTTGTAGGGTAAAATGATGTTAACGTGAGCTAATCTAAATATCTCGCTTATGTTATTTTAAGCCGCACATGTTGCATAAACGCCGCACCATATTTCATTTGGAATGATATTCGAGATGAGAACCATTCAACGAATTTCAGGGAGTTATATAAGTAGTTTAGTGATTCGTTTTTACTGTATTTTGTTCGGATTGTTTTCTTTGACATCCGTTTGGATGATAATGATACATAAATGAACGGTACGTATAAGGCATATATATATGATATATATGGTAATAGAACAAAAGATGTATCGCTCTAGATAATGTCACAAGCTTCACCAGAACGACTCAACTTTTTGGAATGCAATCTTATAAGTCAAGAACAGCCCTTCTCTCCTTTCAAGATGTTTTCTAGCACCTGGGCGTTCATTCAGACCTCTGAAATCTAAAGTTAACAATACAAACTTTGGTTGCATGTATACCTGTGAATGGACACCTTATAGGGCCTTCATACAAACAACTTCTTGTCACCTTTGAATATGAATTTAATGAAAGTGAAGAAGTCGCTTTCCGGAGTTTTGGCTAAGATGTCTACGAGATGCAAAACAGGCTTGCAGGTCAGTATCCGCTTAATGAATGGTTGCCACTGAAAATTCACTACTGGATGTTGTAAATTCATGTTTAAAAATAAAGCTGTTTAGTTGTGGCACTTTCCCCAAGAACTGCCGCTCCAAAGGAAGAAAGCACTAGGGTTAAGATACTGTCAACATGTGCAAACCGAAACAGGAACAATCAAAAACAAAATACCGGAAGCATAACCTAGTGTTTGTAGAAGAGAAACGCAAAATGAATACCCACCTCCTCTAGCGAGAAGGGTAAACAAGCTGTATGCCTTTATTTCATGATCCCGGCAATCAACTTCAATACCTGTAATGAATTTTACGAGCCCTTAATTTGGAAACACATCATACATTTACAGCAGGAAAAATGACCATATTTCGGAGACTTTCCAGGAGTTTCACCTTCACTAGGGATTCATCACAGACGGATCAGATCACTGCTTTTATTAGGCATTCTGCTAAACCCCAAGTCCATCGTCTAGTGAGGATAAATGAGCATTCAAACAAAATATTCTAACTAATGAATCGTTACCGGTTAGTTCAATCAAGATTAACGTCTTATTCGATGTCCCCTGAAACTGCTAAGCATTAGGCTCAATAGATTCCTCCAGGTCAACCTGACGGCCTCCATTAAGGCCGACGAGACCCGTCTGACTGGGTGTTTTAGGATTCAGCCATAGCAATGCTAAATCATTCACTCAGATTCCAAGCCAATGGTACGTATCAGATTGTCCTCAATGGTAGATGGCCATTTCACCAGATCAGTTCATTTTCCCATGAGCTGCTAGATCGCCTGAGTAGGTTAACATCTACATCGACCACACTTCACACTTCACCATGTATTATCCTTATATATATATATATATGTATATATGTATGTATATCTATATATGATAAGCAATATTTGGACATCATTCGTTCGGAAATAAGTTCCGCTTTGCTTTAATTCTTCAACCGTTATTCATTGTTCCTTTGCCAGGATGGTGACGGAGCCCTCTGGAAACTAGACCTGTCATTCACTCACACATCGCTTGCTCCAGAATCCATGGTCAAGTTTCACTCTGACGCCATCATGGACTGCGTAACGTCCCCGTTTGCTTACACTACCGCAACTATTGGACTAGACGGTGAGTCAGTCTAGAACGATTGTTCTCTTGCGAAAATAAGTAAACGGTCAACTGTACGTTTGTAATATGGATTCCTTGCAAACCAGAGGTAACAATTTTTGATTTATTGTGCGTTTCAGGAAGAGTTTCTATCTATGACATTCTTACCAAAAAGCAAATACTCCGAAGAAAATTTCCTGCTCCTGGAACCAGACTTATTTGGAGTCCTCCGCAGGTAAGGAGTAGGCAAAGCCTTCAAACATTCGGTCCTTTAATTGTTCAGATTACAGCGTGTGAGTGATCCGCTAGATGTTTTCCAAAGCACCCATTAGCCGTCGCATGGATATTGCTGGACACAAAACACCTCAAAAAGAAGAAATCTGTTGAAATCGAACTTTATGGAGATAATGCTCAAGTCACCAAAGGTGCACACGGTTGCACCTGGATTTCCCTTATTTGGACATACATCTTACCGCAAATTGTGGTGTGGTTTAATAGAAAGTAATTTTTGATTGATTTCGGTAAAATTCTAGCTTCTAGCCAATGAATTTTAGACAAGAATATATTTCTAGGCTTGTGTGAGTTAATTGAGGTATACTCGAAGATTATTTTGCGTATCAGGCACGTTACGTACCACTTAGCTGAAGTCATTTTGGCCATCTTCTGCGTAGAAATGGGCCGGTTTATTGAACTTCTCGAATCATTGCCGTCCATGCACGACAGTCAGTGAAAACCCCTTCCTTGACGTCGTGTTTGTATGCAGCCGCTCTTCTATTCTTTACAACAGTCAGGAAAATAAATTAGAACTACATTGTGACTGAATTTCGAACGTTTCCCACGAACCACCAATCCAACGAATTCCATGCCAGAATATTTATCACTCGATATTGCTCGCATTGAAAAGTTTGCATTGCTTGTAAGCTGCAGAGTAGTAATCCTACCAGTCATTTGGAATAGTTTGTGCTAAATTTTTCGATCGCCTTGCTTGGGCGTCCTTACCATTTCTTGCGGTAGGGAAAACAAAAATGCCAGAATATTTATCACTCGATATTGCTGGCATTGAAGAGATTGCATTGCTTACAAGCTGAAGACTAGTAATCCTACCTGCCATTTGGCATTGTTTGTGCTAAAATTTTCGATCGCCTTGCTTGGGCGTCCTTACCATTTCTTGCGGTAGGGAAAACAAAACGGTATTATCAGCTTTATGTTTTTTTTTTGGTTTCATGATAATCGCTTTCGAGGAACTTCGGTCTCTAGGTTTTATCTTCCGTCTTGAAGCCACTATGTCTCCGAAGGTACAGGCTCAGCAAATCCAGTCGGTCCTTTGGTCAGGTTTGAACCCCTCAGGGCAGTCAGTTTAATTGGCAGTTTTCAAAAAAATCCCAAAGCTGCCTTATTTTTCACCACTCAGAACGATCAAAGTATGTATAAAAATCAAGCTGACCTAGATCATTCCGAGATGGTAAATATCACGAATCTGGGGGATGTAGCTTGGATGACCAGGTTAGACGGTCAGGATAGATGAATAGATAATCACTGATGGACATGCAAAAATCCTGATAAATCCTTATGAAATCGCTGAAATGCGCAGCTAGAAGGTTCTTAGTTAATGATGTGCGACACCAATGAAGAGTGGCAGCATATGAAAGAAGTAGGGAGAAACTTTCTTGGCGTGAGGTCCTACTTTATAAGGTAGTTCACTGATTGTTCACACACCTGTCAGAGACTTTATTTGGGTTGTTTAAGCCTGCACAAGTTCTAAAAAACAATAGGTCATACGTTTGGAGCGATGCTTATCTCCAAAATGATTTCACCGAAACCGGACTGACGTGCTCTCGGTCGAACTCGGATAATCAAGTGAAACTGAACCTCATCTGGTGTAGTCTAAGTAAACATTATTGTTGGAGAATTGTTAAACTATAAACTCATGGTTCCAAGCTTTGGGTTGTTCTAATGTTGAATATGGTCTATTTGTTTTAGAGAAGAGAATTCTTTAAACAATCATTTTTGGATCTTCGTTTACGCCTAAACTTAGTAAATCCACTTGAAATAACCCACCTGTTTGTGATTTTATTCCTTTGAAAGGTGGATCCAAAGGGAAAAACGCTTGTAGCCGGATTTCAAGATGGTGTTGTCCGAATACTACAGTTTGGAGAAAATCCGGAAACTGATCCCACTAGGAAGGCGAGGAACTTTGCTTTGTTAGACCTTGGTCAAGCACTGAAGCCCCACGTGAAGGCTGTGACAACTATGGCATACAGTCCAACGGGCGAATACTTTGTCACCGGAGTAAGTAGTTGCTGCAGTTCGGAAAAGCCTATTCACCGACTACTCTAGGTGTGCATCCTCAACCTTGATTTACCTTTGAGCGACCGATTATTCTAAGAATCTTTGCATGGGATCTTCGTGTGTCTACACTGTAACGCCACCATTCTGCGCCTAAATGGTACGCGGATAATCGTATTACGTTCGAAGTCAGTGGTTTCTAAATCAATCCGTGCTGTCTAATACTGAACAGTAACCATTGGGATTAGGATTCGTAACTATTTGCGGGAAAACTAGGAACTGTTGGTATCAGTTCAGGCTTGCTTGCTGCTCTTGGTTTGCTTAAAGTCTGAATGGGCCTAGAGTTTTATGTGGGAATGACATGGCACAATGAGTGCAAAAATGTGCACACTGGGCGAATAGTTCACTCTGCTTAAGGGTCAGGATCTCAGTGGATTCCGTGAAACTTTCAGGAAGCATATGCCGTTGGTTTAAGCTTCCCAACTGGAAGCTAAAAATGTCTTCTACTACGGTAAAGGTGTCCCAAAAGGCAGATAGCCTTGGTGTTCACGACTTCATGGATGACACTAAATTGGCGTGTTTTCTTTTCGAGATATTCCAGGGTTTCCATAAGTGTGCTCTCACGTGCGGAAAAAATAAAATGCCATAGGAAGTGTACGGGTTATTCATTTTAGCAACAACGAAAATCTCCCCTATTTTGTTTCCTAAAACACCACCGGCTTATAACACTGTAGAAACTATACATTCGAGACACATGAATAATATTCATAGTCACACCACTCCAGTTTGAACGGTCGTCCTCCCGTTCTGGCGTAATTATTCCAATGAGTCCACACCAAAGGGAAGCACTGGCTCGAGTTTCGCTCTTATTAGAGCTCATCAGCAGTGCATTTCCAATGGCCATGCCGGGATCTGAACCCCGGACATCTGACGTGTGAGGGGAGCTTGTAACCACCACTCCAACAACGCGAACTTGACGCATCTGAATTTTCACGTCTGAAAAGACTAACGTGTTCACGCTTGAGCGATGTGAATGGTATGCCCGACTCATCGAACGACGACCCAGTGACTGCCCTGGGTGTGACAATCGATTGAACCACTAGTCAGGACTTTGCAGAAGAATACATCTCTAACAGCTGGTTATGATCATCTTGCCCAACGTTGCAATCTAGTGCGAAGAGGGTCCCCTTTTGCTTGATTTAGTCAGTTTAGTCATGATTTTTAACCGGGAAGTGTCTGTATGGTATAGGCTAGATGAGAGAAATAGAATGTCGTACACAAATCAAGGGATTTAACTCAGTAAATACAAAAACAGCCCTTAGTTTCACGATTTGGCCATTTTGGTGGAGGTCTGTAACAGACAGCTGGATGATTCATTTTGAATCGCCACTCTGGCATACAATATAGGACAGAATGACCTGCACTTGCGACTTTGACACTTCTAGGTCGTACTTACTTCTACTCAAAGTCTCTCTGGGCTTATAGATTCTCTACACGCAAGAGGTCTTCTGTCTTATGTAACATACAGCCAAGCCAGTGCAATTGGTTTGGTTGTAGTAAAAATGCCAGTGGACCTCCACGAGACGTCTTACAAAATACCATATAGTATAGTTCAGTACTGGAAGGACAGCGCTCTAACCACACCCGTACGGTACTGCGTAGGCATCTGCGGTCGAAAGCAAGTAGTCACCTTCTTTCCCATACGGAAAATTGCTGTGTTTCAGTTCCATACAACGGCACCAGTTACCCTGCGGTCTTAGACAGCCTTCCCTAGACTGATATTGTACCTGTGCTAAGTTAGTAAGCTCAGTAAAGGTCGAATACTATCTCCGGATTAGCCAACAAACACTTCCCACAGAAACTGTACAACTGCCCAGACAAACATGTTCAGTAACTGGTCTCAGTGGATGGATTGCAACAACTGAATTTGATGGCGTGTCGAACCAAACCTAAATGAAAAATTAGGATGTGAAGGTTCAGAGCATTTTTCAAAGCCCATGGGCCAAACAACCCTTTGTGTTTTGCAGTTTGCAAGGTAGACTGCTAAACAGCAAGTATCCTAGCTAAACAGTTTTTGTCACCAAACAGCTCCATTCATGAAAAAGTTATTCATCACGAAAGGTTCAGTCACAACGTCCAAAATAAGGGCAAGTGAGAGCATTTCTGCCAAGCGCCACTTTGGGTAGTGAACTCAGGAAAAACTTATCCCTGGAACTTTTACACGTAAGAAGCTTTTGGATTAGAGTGGACAGGAATCGAAACAGAAAAGCCTTTTTATGGCCTTTTTATGGACAGCACCAGATAGGTTTTCTGATCTCTAATCAAAGCTGATGCCTATCCCTGGTGGTCTGTAAACATGGTCATGCTGACGAGATGAAATCACCGTCAGGCGGTCCACAAACCGAAAGGAATCTTGTTTGAATTCCACTTCTTTTCTGTTCCCAGATGTTGATATTCTCCGTAGAATGATGTCTGGATGGAATTTTTAGGCAAATGCAATTAGAATGATACTTCGTTTTGTGTTTTTTCCTCTTGCAAGTGATGGCATTATCCTCACGACAATTTATTCACCTCCTTCTTTATACAGAGCGAAGACGGCACAGTTTTCTTCTTTTCTGTGCGAATGAAAATGCTCAATCCAATTGGATTTGTTGAAGTCGGCGACAGCGTCGTCCGGATTGAGTGGATTCCAGACGCAAGCAAAGCGAGAGGAGATATTATTGTCTATTTAAAGAAAGGATGTGTCTTGACAGTAAGTACAGCTGCAGCAGAAGTGGAAGTGCGCTTTTGTGCTTCCTGATTTCACAGACACCAAAAATACGAAACGCCCCTAAGAAATTTACATGGTCAGTTTGCTCTTACTCACCGTTCGATCATTCGCTTGCTGTCCCCCCTCGCAGACGTTGTATTCAAATTTCACTGCGAAGTACAACCTCAAAAATCAAAATAATCTTATTGGGGGAGCGGTGATACTATAGGTGGAAGGATAGCCTTGGCCATCTGACTGTCATTCACAGCCACACGAACCCACTCGGTAGAAAGAGCCGTTAGATAGAGAAAGTGCTAAATTCTGAATCAGTTCTTTTCAGATATGATCCCCTATAAGAGCTAAGATAGCCAACCAATGTGTGTTACGAACATTACTCTTCAAAGTTAATTCAGAAGCAACCTTCTGGTTTGGGACATAAGACAACTCTATCACTCGTCAGATTGAATTCATAGGTGTCTTGGGTTAAACCCCACAAACCGAACCGGTTGTCTCGTTCTAGCCCGTTCGTCAGGTGAACAACGTGAAATATCATGCATGTTGGCTGCATTCTCGGAAAAGTGAGACTGGACGAGAACGACGCTTTAATCAGATTAGGCTTTGGAAGAGCTTCAAATAACACTTATTGATAAATTCTTGAGGACCAGCCTTGGAGAAGTGTAAAATCGTGTTCATATCTTCATTCACGCTTTCAGTTTTTCCTCATTCCATTCAACCAACGGGAAACCGACAAGGTTCAGCTACCTCTCTCTGTGTTAAAACGTCAGATTACCCAAGCTTAAGCGTTGTATAGGTGCAGTAAGTCCACTCTGTGAGGCCATATGCTTGAGTATTGTCAAAAATTATCAACTTTACGCTTCCAAACGTTTTAGCGTCGTAGAAGTGTGTGCTGCCGGTATTTAGTGATTTTTTACCCATAACTTTTTCTGTCGTCTAAGTAGTCATCACTGCTGCCTTCCCTGATTGGGACCACCTGAGTTGCCGATAAATTCCAGGGCCCGATTCCAGCGGTTAACAAAAGGTGATTTGGCAGCGAGAAACTAAATTGTAAAACACAAGCAACAGAGCCGACTTGACCACGAGAACGCATAATGTACAAGTTAGTCTGTACAATGAAATTAACCCGATCTTGGTTGACGGACGACAAGGAGGGAGGAAACGACAGGGCAGACACCATCTAGTAAAATTTTAGTGAGGTGACCACGTACTTTGTGGAAAGGCTGACGAGAACCGAGAATGTGAGCCTAAAGCTCATAAAATGACGAATGACAGAGAGTTATGGTCGATCATCCTGTTGCAGTTTTCCTATCTATCAAGAAAAGGAAACCGGTCCTCTGATCCACGCAGGAACCGAATACTATCTTTTTTCGGTTTTTCAACTCTGTTACATCACAGCAACCATACATCGGAGCCTAAAGTGCTCCCATCTGATCATGTTTATTTTCTCTGTCTTCCGATTTGACTCTGTGAGAAAATTCATGAAGAACACTAGTCATGAAACTAAGTATTACTGCTCCTGAAGACAAGTGCAAGTGATGATCATCAGCTACGCAACGAATGACTCTTCGGAGAAATTTTCTAGCTAGGAATTATTCGTACCCATGGTAGGGTGCATGAGGAATTGAGCGTGTGCAAACATTTCTCACAATGCTCCCACATAAGGGATTAAACCGGAGAGTGAGCTTTTACTAAAATTTTCCAAGCTGCGACCCCAATGGACTGCTAATATTACTAATCCCTGTGCGGCAGTTAGCAGCGAAAGCAAGTTCAGAGGTTGTGCTCTCAACGGGGGTTCGGGTTAGGCCACTTAAAGTGTAAAATTTGTACATGCTCACGGATCCTTTTTCGAACTTTCAGACGTTGAATTTTTCGTTGGTTACTCTTCAAATGACAGCGGATTGATCACCTCTATTGCTCACCATAGCAGGTGGATGTAGTCACAAATATTTGGTCAGCAAATGTTACGCAGCATCGGAAATCCATTCCAGGATCTGAACAGGCGAATCGAAAAAAAGCGGATGTGGGATCAGTGAAGCTTGTATGACGGATATGACAAAGAAGTGGGGCCACCAGAGGATGACGTCCCTTCAGAAGATTTTGTGATGATACATTCGGCCGTTTCAATTCGAGACTGTAATAAAATCTACCATTGTAATTATGTGGTTAAACATTGTTTTCTTGGGTAGATTCAGCAGTTAGCTGCAGCTTCTCTCTAAAAAATGAATAAACGGCTGTGAAGCTGGCAGTAGTAAGTCGCCTGTTCAGAAGAAGTGGAAAAATACTTCCGCAAATCTTGACAGATACGATATGTTATCATATGGGAATGCCCCTCATAAGATTACCTCTTAGTGGAAATCTCCCCCCAGGCTTTCCAGAAACTTCCACTCATATTTTGTTCAACGCAACTACTACTGTTGTATTAGGTCACTGGAAGCGCAAATTGCTGGCACCACACCGATCCAGTTATCAGGAAAACTTCAGCAATATTGGACCAAATCCTTCCTGGTGTTTCTTGGAGGCGGTGGAAGAAAAAGCTCTTGGTTGTTGCTCCTGACCAAAAAGATTCCCGTTGGTTATAACTATCACGAGATCATACTTTAAAGTACAAATCTTGCTGTCATTGTAGTACACTGCAGCTGAGTGGCTAATAGATTTACTCTGTCCCTATTCCGATCAGTATCCTTGCCCGTCAGTCGAAGAAGCAGACCGGAACAAAAGTTTCGCTTTACCCAATATCCATCCGAATGGTGGCTATCAACTATTGAGCATCAAGTCTCAGCTGCAACATGAAGAACAAGCAGCGGAAAAGTTGAAACGATACGAAAAGGAGAAGAAAATCAGACAAGAACTGCGAGCATCAAGGGCTCAGCATGAGCCGGAGACCGAAGAAGAAGCTAGGCTTTTAGATGAAGGTGAGATTTTCCGCTAGAAACATTCATTGCACACTTTGTACTTATCCATCCTCTATTATTAGTCTTGTTAGTATTAGCCTTGTTAGACTTGTTAGATATAGAGGCGATTCTCCATTGTCGTATGAATATGAAATCTTATGGAAACAGTCATGCAAAAGAACCGACATCGCATGCTCGCTGTACTGTATCATCCATAGTGTAGTGCAAAGAAGACCAAATCGGCTGGGTCAAATGTGACGTGTTGATTGGGTTGGTGTTTTTCAGAAAACGTCATGCGTCACACAAGCTTAGACGGATTGTTTTTGGTTTGGAGGCCACCACAGACTGCTGTAGTGTCTCGTCATTCTTGTTTGACAAATTTGCCCATATCCTGAGGCTGGTGGTTTTCTGACTCCCAGATCGGGTGAAAAACGGGAATCCCCCTGTAAGAAGGGCTTCAGGATTTGTGGGCGGCTATGAATTCTGAAGAGTACCAAACTGTCCTTCTCCGTCAACAATAACTGAATGTGCCAGAGAGGTCGAATGTCTCCGTTAGCAAGGTCGTTTCCTCTTGATAACCCACTACTCTGCTAGGCATTCACATAGTTTAGAAAAAATTACTCTCATTGTGCTGTACACTAATCTAGGCAATATAAGGAATGGAAATTAGCTTATTCAGACAATCATAAAGAAAAGCACATGTTGACTGGACCTCGTCACAGCCACTGAAGAACCTTTAACCTCAGTACATACGCGTTCACCTTTTTTTACTCAAACTATAAGCTTCTCTTAGGGAAACTCTTAGAAAAAATACACTCGACCAGATAGTGAACCCCTCAGTAAAGGTGCAGTATCCTACTTAACCCGAGTAATCTCTTCTGAAAAATTTAACTTGTTGCTTCTTAAGCTGTGAAGTTGGTGACCACTTAAGTTGCTGCTACTGGCAGAGGACCATTTTTCTGTCCCAGCAATGAGTTAAGGCAAAAAAACATTGACGTTCCACACATAATTTATGAGCGAAGTATTTTGCCCCCGGAACTACCATAGTTAATCATGAAATGTCTTAGTTGATGCCTATACTCAAAGGATATTCAGGCACCCGTACGTAATTTCGACAAGCTTACAAGCACATGGATGGTGATTCGTTGCAGACAGCATTTGCTGTAGTATTTGTCTACAGGTGGGAGTACTATTGAACGGGAAGATAAAATGAATTTAGAGACAAGCTCCGTGGGACTCGAGCAATCTGATTGCAAAGAGATGCAAAGGAGGAATACTCATTTACGTTAGGTTTCAGGAATACTAAGTAATTAGGCATGTTTCTGGAATTTCCTAGACGTTATTCACATGCTTCCCGTCAGCAAAAAAAGATAAAAATGAGATTAATTAATTAGGCATGTTTCTGGAATTTCCTAGACGTTATTCACATGCTTCCCGTCAGCAAAAAAAAGATAAAAATGACGATTAACTGAGGAAGGAAGCGATGGTTCAAACTGCAGCCATAAGACGCTACTCACAATTAACTTCAGTACTTCAATTTGTACACTGTGTTCCCATATCAGAGAACATTCTTCGTATATTTCACCGGTTGGTAGTCATAATTTGGTTTTAACATATTATGGATGTTTTTGGCACTTTTAATCCAATGATCACTAGTCGATCTCTATAAACGCAAGAGAGGTAGAAACCAGATAGCCTACATCTATATAGAACTAGAGTGAGTGTTGTGTGTAACTCAATAGAGACTTACCAAAAGTGTGTCTTAGGTAAATTTTGATCCCACAAATCCTTTTACTCATGCGCGAAGCCAAATAATGATACTGTCCGTTTTTAATTGGTGCTTTGGATAACGACTGTGTGAACCTACCCATCAGAAACCCATACAACAACAGTGATCGCGCACCCGAAAGGGAGATCCAGGCATCAACCGAACTGTCATAAGATCCCGTTGCATTAGTTAGCTATTTATCCGAATACTACTGTTAGGGGTTCTGTGACGTGGTTCTATTTTGGACACTATTCTGACCATGAATGTGTTCTGTCCGTCAGCGTAGGTCGCGGCAGAAAAGGGTTCCAAAGATGACATCAGTCCTCTCTCGTGCTGTCGTTAAACGCGTCAGCCGTTCGGCCACGTTATCAGTTTGCTTTGACCGGTTTCTTGATGCCAAATCTAGCCTTGATGTACCGCCAAGCTCAGACCACAAGTTGACACGCACAAAAAAAGATAAAAATGACGATTAATTAACTGAGGAAGCGATGGTTCAAACTGCAGCCATAAGACGCTACTCACAATTAACTTCAGTACTTCAATTTGTACACTGTGTTCCCATATCAGAGAACATTCTTCGTATATTTCACCGGTTGGTAGTCATAATTTGGTTTTAACATATTATGGATGTTTTTGGCACTTTTAATCCAATGATCACTAGTCGATCTCTATAAACGCAAGAGAGGTAGAAACCAGATAGCCTACATCTATATAGAACTAGAGTGAGTGTTGTGTGTAACTCAATAGAGACTTACCAAAAGTGTGTCTTAGGTAAATTTTGATCCCACAAATCCTTTTACTCATGCGCGAAGCCAAATAATGATACTGTCCGTTTTTAATTGGTGCTTTGGATAACGACTGTGTGAACCTACCCATCAGAAACCCATACAACAACAGTGATCGCGCACCCGAAAGGGAGATCCAGGCATCAACCGAACTGTCATAAGATCCCGTTGCATTAGTTAGCTATTTATCCGAATACTACTGTTAGGGGTTCTGTGACGTGGTTCTATTTTGGACACTATTCTGACCATGAATGTGTTCTGTCCGTCAGCGTAGGTCGCGGCAGAAAAGGGTTCCAAAGATGACATCAGTCCTCTCTCGTGCTGTCGTTAAACGCGTCAGCCGTTCGGCCACGTTATCAGTTTGCTTTGACCGGTTTCTTGATGCCAAATCTAGCCTTGATGTACCGCCAAGCTCAGACCACAAGTTGACACGCACGTTTCCCAGACTTCGTTTCATATTGTCATTAAAAGATGTTTCGAAAACCTTCGGATTTGTCGGCTTGAAGAACCATATTTTATTAGCAACCTAGGTAACTTGGCGTACTAGAGCAGTCAACGATTCTTGTGGTACATTGGATCCTTGTGGAGCTTAATTCTACTTCCCCTGTTCAAAATCGCTTTTGATATACGGGTATGATAGAAAAACTACTTTCATTTTCAAAGACTGATTCCAAAGACCAGATAAATATAACTACAATACTGTCTTCCCTGTACAAACTAAGCTACTATGCCCATAAGCGTTTAGAACCTTTTCTCGACTAGCCGGACATAATATCTCTCTATAGAATACTTGATTTTGGTTTATATTTGCCCTAATACAAGTCGTACAGATGTTCAAAAGGATGTAAATGAACATTTAGTGCGAAACAATTGGAAACTGTTTGAACCATGTGCACTTCAGGAAGAACCGATAGAGACAGGGGAATCCGCTAAGTTCGGTCATAATTTACGCATCTTCTCACTTGTAGGTGACATCTGAGTCTCATTTGACGTTAAACTAAATTGCAGAATCAATAAGGTGGAGATGAAAATGATACCTCACAAAGTTTCTGACGTCAGTCTGGCCTAAAGACTGAAAAAAGCTGCATCGACGTGAATGTAAATATGCAGACTGCGTGAAAAGTAGTTTCTGACGAAGTTGAGCAAAAATGCAAGAGTAAAAACCGTTGCAACGAGATCAGGACCATGGCAACTGGGTGCAATGCTTCAAAACATTCTGTGTACCTGTAAACCACGGACAAACAGAGTTCTTAGGCTCCGGTGACATAGCGACACTCAGAATCAAAACTCTTGATCAGTTCAGTGACCTGTCAAACCCTCCAACATTTGCAGTTATTTGCGTAGTTGCCCAAGGGAAGTATTGTGCTGTACGCTCTGTCAAGCAATTCGATAAATGTCGATCCGTTTTTTGTTCGATTATGTACAGTGTTTTGACCGTAAGTGAATCCCTCAATTAATGTTATGCTTTTTCTCCCAGTATGGAAGTACGGTAGATATGCATTAACTTGGATTCTCTGGCACCGTGCCCTTTGTACGGTAGCCGTTTTAGAACGGCACTGGGGTTATCCGCGAAACTTTCTAGGTAGGAAAGATTCATACCAACTAGCCGTGGATGGCAGACTGTGTCCAAAAACTCGTCACACTTTGTTAGTGTGGGATTTCTGCTGCAGTTCGGGAATGCGGCAGTCGTATGCCTCTGGGCGATTACACGCACACACGAACAGCACTCAGACCCTGAATAACAATAAATGTCCTCTACTTTTCCCTTCGTTTTCAGAGGAAGAACTAATCCGCCAAGGTGTGATGAGCGAGATAGCAAATTGGGCGCCCATTGATAGTGATAAATCGTCAACAGTTCTCTATGCCACGTTGGATCCAAACAATCCCAAAGAGTTTTGGTTATCTCTGGTAAGTTCGTTCCTCTCTTGCATTCATCCTTATGATTAGCGATATGTGTGCAACTCGAATTATTCGTCAGTTTTCAGTTTGAGGTTTAATCGGTTTACTGTCCAAAGAATTTTGATATTAGTGTTCCGGAAAACCACTGATTTCTGAATTGATTTGAATTTCCAATTTTACAGAAGGAGGACGGACTGACGAAACCTCATTTGGATAAACCAAGCGCAGAATTAATCATTTCGATCAGGGCTTCCCTGACTTTGTTCATTCCCGACCCTTTTTGGTGTTCCTTCGTAGAACGGAAGTTAGATTGATGTTTTCTTGGAAGACCTTTTCGGTAGAATATGTAAATGGGCGGCTTGAATTTGAGTCAATCCAGTAACTTATATGCTAAATAAAGAGATACCAAGAGACCTACGGTTCCGTGGGGTAAATTACTGGGTTGGACAAACATAGTCTTCTGATCCTTCAGTTTTTAGCACAGTACATGTGACATGTTCCTTAAGATGTGTACTCCTGTATCAATTTCACGCCGGGTATTTCTACTTTGCAGCCGGGTACTTAGATCAATATCTTTGGGTAAAGATCCAAACTTCCTAGTTGTATCATGGGTAACAAAACGACCTGCGTTACGTCAGTAAAACAACTCCGTAACACATCTGCAGTTGCTTGGTGACATCAATCTGGGTGTCTCGCATGCAGAAGTAAAGAAAAACGAGGCTTCGATGCAGCTGACGTTTTCAATTTCCCATTGAGAGTACCCGTGGCATCCTCTTCTATACTGTCAGATTATTAGTCTTGCAAATGCCAGCCAAACCCCTATAACTGGTGACGTGATGCCACCACAGTGATAAATAGATTGCGGATGATAAGCGGCTTTACTTAGTATTCTGCTGGGAATAGAAGAATTTACTAGTGAATTTCTCCAACCCCCAGGAGACTCGGCAATTTGCTTTATGCACCCAAGTCATCCACATTTTTAGTACATTTGCTTCGCCGAAAAATATTCTAGATCCACCAAATTTTCAAATATGGTTTGATACTATTCTTATTCCAGTATTAATATTTGAAACCTATAGTGGAAAGGTATAAAACATGTTGCGGTAATTTCAGTCAAGAAAATGTTTCTGCAGAAAATTTCAGTCTCCTCTTATTTAACCAACTCAAACTAGCTAGAAATGGTTATGCGCAAAGGAGAACAACCGTAAAAATCTTAAAAATTAGCTTACATTGCAAGAACAGGGGTCACTTCAATTCAGATGAACAACAGATTAATTAATGCATGTCAGTCGGTGGAATTACTTTTACGGTACAAGATACAGGGAAACCTTCTTTCTAGGTGCTAAGGAACTTTTTCGATAGACATGCGACTGGCTCTTCTATGTGGAAATCAAGGGTTAAACCGACCCAAAGAGATCGAAATAAAATTGAAAGTAGAAGCACAGGCTTCACAGTCCAAATATGCTTCCAGCTTAGCCGACTTTTGTCTCTATTGAGCTTGGAGAGCGATGACTGTTTACTTATATGTATTCAGTCAAATGTGGTGCAGAACTTGAGCAAACATCTGACAGCCAGCTCGTCAATGGATCTCAATGGTTCCAGATACGCATAATGTACCCTGAATTTTGTTTTTCGAGGCATTCTTTGGCTAACCACGTGTACGACAGTGGGCGCCACTCCACATCCAACTCCACCTTCCGTCAGAAGCAAACGTGATAAAATCGGAATAATACATCCCGAGGTTCCCGATACGGAACTTTGAATCACACGCAGGTCTGAAGATCCTGAATATCAAAGGCAGCAAATGTAAGCAAAACTATACAACACTCCTCAATCTTTCACTCTTGTGGCACCACCAAGTAAGCAACTCTGTCACAGCTCGGCACAGTGTAATATCAAGGGTCGAGCACCAAACAACGGAGTGTAATGTTTCGCTCGGTTATGTGGGTTGCGGTCGTCCCTTCCGAGGCCTGCGCACGAACACGCATGGGTAAGAAGGTCGATTGAAAATACACCCACATGGTGCTATACCAGTGGCGGAGGTCTGCGACGCTTGTGGCAAAGTGAATAGCGAGTACGGGGTGGAGAAAAATAGGTGGAGATCAATAAATACACGAGTCCTGCACCAGTACGCAAATGAATTGATGAATTATCCGAATGTCAAGTTAGATCCAAAGTGCCTATTCCTGTCACTGCCATAACGATTTAAATACGGATGGGCCCAGATATCCGCTTTGACAGCGCTCCTGTCGCCCTTTGCAGGAAAAATGAACGGATAAACCTAGAAGGGTCTAGACAATGCAGCCCATCTCTGAGCATTAGTGAAATAGTAAAACTGGTGCACAGTGTGGCAGCAAGAATTAAAATTCTTGATTCCATAGCAAGTTTCAGCTTGCCAACTAAGTTATTGCTATGTTTCCCCCAAACGTTAGACAGAGAAACAATGATTTATTCTATATATCTGCACAGTACTGATCAACTGCTCGTGCCTGAACGGTTGAGTGTTTAAACTACTAGCAGAAAAGTTACGGGTTCGAAACTCCATGCAGTATTGTGAGATGATACCACTGGCGACTACCAGTATGGATCAAGACAGCATTCAGCGTAGATTGGCTCCAGCGGCAGCACGAAGTCTTCATCATTATTGGCTGTAACACAAGCGCTACTAAATTGCTTTTAGGCGTTTGGTCTGATGCTTCTTTGCGAGAAGCACGTTGAATAGCCACTGCGTAGTGATGTGTTAGGAAAGGAACACGTTCACTAGACAGGGTGTTTTATGTTCAAATCCTTGTTGCTGTAACTCGGAGATAACCTATCTAATTCCAACTTACTTTCAGAGGACCAACTGGTAAAATTATTGTAGCGGCTAAACTGGAATCTCCGATTACATGCTTCCCTTCATAGGAACTTCAAGCTCCATTCTCCATCTGCCTCATACATAAAATGAATGGCAGAATAGGTCGAGTTATAATCATTCGTAAAGTCCCAGGTTAACGGCATGTCACCAACGTATCGAAGGTAAGAATCCAGAGATGCTATTTATTCGTGAAGAAATGTCTTCTAAAATGGCCATAGATATGGTATTCAGAAGTGGACAGGGAGTTAATCTCAAAGTAATATCTCTGTTTGGCTATGCAGAGTGCCAGTAAACAGGGTTTGTGTATTCTTGGTCTGCTGCAGAGTAGTTTAATACTGGGCAATGGGATAACTATACTAGATTTTTTCACGAAAACTGCCTTACAAATACCGTTAATAGTTCCACGCAGGGATCCAGGCACGAAAAGCGAGGCAAAATATAAATGAAACTGTGTCTTTGCTAGATTAAGTTGGTGGTACCACTCAAATAAGCTGAATCCCAGCTAAATTTCACCCTTGGGGTATTCGTCAAGTGAATGTGCCGCAAAGAGGTGGCTTCATATTTCTAGCGAAATACACTCATTTCCATGCCTGTTTGGTTTCCACATTGGAACTAACTGAATCTCCTGTTTATGATGTTCTTCTTCAACTGAACGTGCTGCACCAGGCCACCTCGTGTTTCAGTTGGACGATACAACCAGCATGGCAATACATTAACTGAACGTGCTGCACCAGGCCACCTCGTGTTTCAGTTGGTACGATACAACAGCATGGCAATACATTTTACAGAAGTTAAACTCAACTCATGAGGCTGCTGAGGTCGAAGAGATCCCGGCAACCATCTGAATGGTGTGTTGCGCCCCATTCTCCATTTGATAAGATGTCCGAGATACTGTAGTGTAATCTCTCCTAAAAAAACACCACTCGTTAGGTTTTTGAGATCTCTTTGACAGTCCACTAACAGTTTTACCTTACTCGGAACTTATCAGGCAGACGCAATACCCAAGTTCCCCCCAATCTTATGCCTTAACTGAACCCATATTTGACGCGGTTTGCCAAATTTACTCTTTTGCATAAAGTTGAAAACACTCACTTATGTTACCCTGTGGTCTATTGCGCTTCGTAGCTTTGGTAAGCTATGAGCTACCCTATTTACTCACAAATCTTATCTCAGAGGAATAAGCAAATCAATCCCACCTATGTGTCCTATTGACAGCTAATAGTGGTAGGCAACTGGGGCTGGTCTATTCTTAATATCAAATTTAATTCCAACCAAAATGAGAGGACATTTGGTTTGTAAAGGAGCAGTAATTCTACCGCTTTTAGAGTTTACATGGAAAACGCAGAAAATTTTGAATTTAGCTTAGATCTCTGACTTTGTCAACGAGTTTTCCTGAAGGAATGTCGGTTTGACCCAGAAGAAACTTGGTAAATCTTCTGGATATGCTGTTAATTCTAGCTGACACTCAGTGCATCTACGGCCATCGAATACTCACCCAATGCTACTTGAATCAGGGAGGTTCAGTTCCTCCCACTCTAGAATACGAATAACCGAAACTATACACGACTATACATTAGAGTTTTTTTATACAATCTCGGCTGCATTCTGCCTGTAGAATGTGCTATCGACTAAGAAAGGGTTGTAACAATTCCAAACTTGCAGTTATATAAATCTCAATTTTTATTGGGTTTGCGTGCCAGATACTTAAGTGATCGACTAATTTTGAGTTTTCTTTAAACTGCAGATTATGTGTGAGCATATAAAGTCGACTTCAGTATACTAGAATAGAAGCCCACTAGTAACGGATACCATGTAGTTCTGCTCTGCTTTCACAACTGGCGTAGCACTTATCGTATCCAGATTCTGAACAAGATATTGTCTCTTTAGTACTGCGCACCGAACGGCTTTGACCAGAGTTACATTCACAGGTGAGGCTCCTGAAAGCTTGGATAGTTGTGGCTGGGATGCGTAACTTAAACCGTCCCTAGTATAGACAGAAAAACAACAGTTTGATCTTCATCCACGGGAGTCGATTTGGCCCGGAATATTCTTGTTTGTGGTCCGTGAGCTCATTCTTGAGCTTCCCCGAAATACGCGTCACTTGATACACAGCAGCACTTCGTTCAAATTCCTGCTGTTGTATGTGCACTAAGATCCCTATATGTGAACGTATTCGAACGCCTAGGCCAATTCAAACGGTCCAAATCACAGTGGAAGTTTAGTGGCCAAGTCAAATGTTGGCAAGGTCAATGCATACAGCTACCACCTGTTTAAACACGCTAGAAACAGCTCATCAGAAAATACTAGAGCATTCACTTATTTAACCTTGGCGTTCTTATATTAATTACGGACTGGTCGATTCTCCGGTTCATTCCATTCTAGTGACTAAGTTCTTATATCTTATGTTTTGTAAATGCCATTGGTTTTTTTGGCCCCACTTATTTCGCGCCGTTAGCGCCGAGCCTGGACAATATGCCAGATTGTGAGGAAAGACCGAAACTAGTCGACTACCAGCGTAGTCCTTGCTTTGTGAAGTAAATGCAAGCAACTCTGGCTTATCAAACTTTCAGTTCCATGTTTTATGCATCTCTTCCAGATAATAATCCTCTCCGGTGGTAGTTCGCCCCTAAGGTATATTGTTATATGCTTTTTGCTCTAGATGTTAAGAATAGGAAAAAACTAAATGCTTTAAAATGTCAGGTAGTCGAAAGCTTCCATCCAGGGTATCTTTTTCGATTGTTTTTGATCGTAATACTTCCGCGAAGGACGAATTTGATTCCGGCTATTTGTACAAATGCAAAATCGGCGAAGCACCAATGTCCGACGGTGAAACACGAAAATTTTTGCGTGATAAAAGAGCAGAACAGGCTGCCCGAGCACGAGCACTCATGAGAAAAGGAACGAACGAACAGGATGAAGAGGATGTTACGCCGGACGAACCTGGGTCGCAGACGACGGGAGCATCCGAAGCTGCGGATTCGTCAGTGTCTGACGGGGAGGTAGAAAATAAAGAGCTGGGACTTGCAGATAGACTGCCAAAAGAACACCCGCATGAGTCTGCCAAATTCTTGAGAAACTCTGAAACCGCAATTACGTACTGGACATTTTCAGCCTCAGGCAACAGGCTTTTTGTGGGTTTCAGGGACGGATGTGTCCGCGTGCAGCTATTGCGACAACCTTTTGATGTCAAAAGTTTGGGAGACTATTGGCTACTCCGAACACACGATAACTTGCGTGGGGGTATCAACCGGATTACACTCACTCATGATGAGAAGTAAGTATGCACGTTTTATATTCAATAATTTCAGCTAAGGATTCCTTCCTGCTTCATTACTACTGGCTCCAACAAACTGGTTGTTTTGGTAACGCGATCCTTGGAAACTTTTCTGCGGATAGTAAAGCCAGCAGTTCAGCAGCCCATCACGTTTCGGTTGCAAAGCTATCACACTGTTACATTTTGGTTGAAGCTGGCAACAAGTTTGCCAAAACTAAGGCTATATCTCCAGAAAACCTGCTATTGAGCGAATTATTGACAGTTCAGGCAGTCAACAAAGCAGTGACCATCAAACAGACATGCTTTGTTCGGCTGATAACGGTGTTACAAAGAGGAATAAATTCGGATATTTCAGTGACTTAAGTCACAAGCGGAGCTGGTTGGAGCTTATTCAACATCAAGCTAATAGCGCTGTCAGTTGTCGATGAAGCAATTTCCAGACCAATTCTAATGATGGTGCGGCTAGTCCAAACCTTTTCCGTGTCGTGACCACTTATCCAGTGACCCTTCACCAACGTGTCCTTGGCCGGTCAATTCACCTCCACTTCTTCGAAGGTACCCCTCATTGTTTCAGATTGCAAACGTAGGCATAAGATTTCGTTTACTTTGCCCTTACAGCAATTTGTGAATTCTCTTGACACATAATACCCATTCATCCTTATTAATACTTGAAACGTTCACATTAAGTCGTTGCCAATTTTGTCCAGCTTCAGCTTCAGGCGTTCACCTAGAGCTGTATCAAACGGTGCACTCAGTCTGCATCATGACCTAAGGATAACTTATCGCCGTCCTCTGCAAGCAACGCTTGAGTGACCGCATCAAGATGAGTGCTTTTTCTGGTTAACTATAGCCGTTGTACAACCGTGACACTCACACCGACTCCAATCCTGCCATCGCCTGTGGTGTTCTCTGAGGCAATAAAGCCATCCTACTCCGAACCTGAAGGAAATGAATGCACGAGCTAACATCCGCTGGTAGTCGTTCATTGAAGGGTTGCAAGGTCATGTTTACGATGAGCTGCAATAGCCGCATCAAAAATTCTAACCAGTTAGTAGTGCCAGAGAGGAAGGAACAGAAAGCCTATGGTAAAACAAAGAAGGTGCGCCATAGGTCTGTTATTTTTGGTTTGACTTTGAATAAAGGGAAGGGAAAAGTGCGGGGTTTAGGTTTGTAACTGACCAGATGCACAACCTAATCAACAGAACTAGAATAGCTTCTTATCCTCGGACTAATCGAAGGCTTTCCATATAAACTCTCTTGGTCCAGTAAATCGATGAATCCCCTTCATTCAGCGTACACAGTGCATGAAGTGTGCATTGTCCTCATTATAAAGCAGTTTCCGAAACCATTCAAGAATGATTCCCTTCCAGAAAGGCGCACGTATTCATCAAAGTGCCAACGGAGAACTGTCTACTTTGAAGTCAAAAAGTTCCTTCCTTCAATGGTTCCATTATACCACCTCATGTCGACCTGTTCCGTTCGTCTTGTCATGATGGAACCACTTTTCCAAACATCGATTCAAGCAGTGCTCCGCAGAATGAAAGCAGCTAACGTCTTCGTAACTTCCGACTAAATAACTGAGATCAAGGATGACGTTTTTGAACTAAGAGGAGGTATCACCAATGGCAGCAACAAACCAATGCGTTTCCACTGAATTCATGTGTTTTTGCACCCGTTTGCGACTGAAAAATGAACTAAAATACTGACGTCGTTGAAAATTTCATGCTGTACAACCCAATGGTTGATGAACACAACACGTCAAAGCGAACAAACCACTAGGATGATAAAGGGGAGATTGGTCATTTGGATGAAAGTTGTGATCGGGACTGACGATGCTTAATCTACAAGATGAGTTAGTAGTATCAAAATGCACTCCGAATCACCCGCAGAATCCCCATCGTCAAGATGAAGGATCAGCATAGTTTCACAATGTTGCTACCTCTAAAACTTTTATGTTGATAAATGCTCATTTGTATTAGAATTCGACCATTATCATCACCAACCCCTTGTCATCTACTCCCCGCTGCTCTAATTTTACTCTCGTCGGGTTCAGTGTTTTGATTGTCGTGTCATTTTACACAGGTCGGAAGTGAACTTCACTTTTACCTCCTACAAAAGTCACGTCATCACTCAAAGGAATAAAAACACTCATTTGATTTTCGCTCAGTGTTCCAGGTGCTTACGACATGTAATTGAACAGGGGCTTGACTTAACGCACCACCTATTTGCATATTTGAACACTTGCAAAAAGGCATTTTTGTGTGCACCTGAGTAGCAGTTGCTATGAATTTATTGCCACCTAATTCAGACACTCTACAGAATTCGCTCTGTTTATGCCTCCGTCCGTCTTACAAGTCTAGCGGCTAAAAAGCCGGTGCTTTGTTCATTTTGCTGTTCCCAACTCTTGAGTGTCATGAACGCATCATTAGGGGAAGCCACGTCTCTATTATTGGTCGTTTGGGCCGAGACGTCAATCAGTCTAAATGCTTTTCGTTCCTGTATGCTCTTTTAATCACCAAAGAATTTGGAACTATTCATGCTACTCTTAAAAATCTGGTAGGCTGGAAGATGCTTCGTCCTAGCTATTTTGAACCAACTAGAGGTAATTGATTTGAGTTGACAGAGGTTTCTGATATCAGGACAGCTCACAAAATGGTTATACCTTACATCCTGAAAAACTTATTTGGAATATTTCCCTAAAAGAAGACGTAATTGTCAAAAAGCGTAATAGATTATTCAACCACATCAGTGGTCATCTTTTTATTTCTATGATGCTTCTTTATTATCCTATCGCAACCTCTAGTTAACGTTCCACTGTAAGGAGTTTGTCGGAAAGTCCTACGAAACTTATCCAGACGTCCTAACTTGAGGAAGGTACCGACCGCTGCTGTTTGTCTTCATTTCTTGCTGGCTTGAATTCAAGACTTCTGTGGAAAACGGGTAGTGTAAATTGTTAGCCGTAATTCATCGCTCATGTGGCTGCCAGTGTGAGTCTGTAGTGATTTCGAGCGCCATTGAAAGTATGACAAGGCTAGGCCTAGTATATAGGTTGTGGCAGTTTTCCACAATGTATACGTCAAACAGTTGGTAGTTGACCAGGTGGCTGTTGATCTGCTCGCCGAGCTTGATAATTGATTTGCAAACGTTTAGTCACCATTCAGCGTTCAGCATACTGAAGATGTCTCCTCGAATGGTGACGAAACGTTTGCAAATCAATTGCCAAGCTCGGCGAACAGCCACCTGATCAACTACCAACTAATGCACCCGAGCTACCGGTATTCCAACACATTACCAACGTCAAACAGCGTATCATGGTTATGTCCTTGCGCTTCATTTGTCACCTGTTACCTTGGGCACAAAGTAAGAAGGCGCGAGCGATATTGGTCCAGTTATGCATGGAAGCCCCGGCCAGTCTGCAGACACATCGCACTCAGTGTCTATACCTAACAGCCACTGACACTTTCAATAAATTTCGGAATAATCCCACTAATAACACAGCAGCGTAAAAACTGTGTGGCGGAAAATAGTTTTTCGAAATTATGTTGCCCCGAAATATGACCTTTTACCATTTAATAGCCGAAAAACCACCTGCTAACAGGTGGTTTTTTTTGTACGTGATGTCAGGATATACTTTCACCACATATGTCAACTTAAAAATTGCCCGAAAATTACGTAGATGTGGATTTCGATCACATAATCTGACGTAGGAGATATTTTTCTTGCATTTTTACAATTCTGAACCAACAATTTAGACTAGGTAACATAAATGGACGCATTGTCGTATGGTTCCAACTTCAGTGAGTGAATTATCCTGGGATGAAATGTAATGAAAACGTATTGTCCGGGGACAGGATGTAGTGTTTGTGACACGCAATGAAGCGACCAGTCACTCAAAGTGTCATTGGGACGGTGATTTTTTTGACTAATTCATAAGTACCCTTACACAGTTGTGCCGGTGGACTGACGTTTATCACTGAAAGATCTTCACCTAGGGCTCAGTGCCCTATGTAGCGGTCCAGGACCTCAAAACCTCAAACTTTCTCAGCCTACTGATCATAAACGGACAAAAATCTAACTGCTTCGGGTCTCGTAGAAAAATTATACTCCAATCGTTTCATATGTCCACAGGTTTCTGATTAGCGTGAGTCAAGATGGCACATTCTTCGTTTACGAACTTATGTCGGAAGAACTGCAAGAAAAAGAAATCAAAGAATATCGTTCCCGTATCCCTTCAGCTTACGTAAGTCTACCAACAAACTTTCGCCCAATCGTCATGAATGTCAGTGCACTTGAACCAAGAACCCCTCTTCTAATGTTTTAATTCCGATACCTTTATAATCCCCATACCTCTTATAAAGTGTTGGTCATTGGCTTGTTCACTGCGGTGGATAACTTGCTCTTAAATTTTTCACTACCCGTCAGGGTGACCCACTCAGTGCGTCGTTATGACGAGTAGCTCAACGTTGCGTCAGTGGTTGTACGGTACTGATGTGATCACCTTGATTCGAGATTAAACGTCTGGCTCGGCGAACAAACCAACGATCGTCTATATTACCTGAGTTAGCAACAATTTATGTAAGGATGTGGCAGTGCACGTTGACAGATTTACTGATTAAAATCTACAGAGTCATACGGAATTTCAATCTCAAGAAAATCTACTGCCTTCAATCGTTTCTTTATCTGAATAAGCTTTTTTTCCCGGATGAAATGAAAATAGCACATAGCGAACAGAATAGCACAAGAGGTGTTTTCCGGTTGCATCCCGTACAACATCGTCTGTTAAGGTATCCCGAGAAAAAAAAACAGCTGTGCAGACGTATAAATATAATTAGAAAATTTGCGGACGGATTCTATCCACTATTTCAGCAGTCGGTGCTGATGCTATGGAAAAAGTGGCACTGTTGATTACGCACGTGGTGGGAAAAAGTGGGGTACATGCATTAAACTTCATAACTGGTCCTCGCATGTGTTGTTTGATATAATAGCCCACTTTGTGAAACCTAAATTTAGTTCATTTCAAATTCAGATACGGACAGCCTAAACAAGCAATCTGGTTGCTTAACGGTCATTTTCACTGCACCGTTTACTCCAAGTACGACAATTCCGTTATCAGAAGTGTTCATTTGTGCGCCATACAGATGAAGGAATATCATGCGCACATGCAAAAGCTCACCAATAAAACGGGAAGGGCACTCAACAGGGTCGTTTTTAATGTTTCCCATTTCATTGTTTCAGGAGGCCAACCGCCATACGGACAGCCTAAACAAGCAATCTGGTTGCTTAACGGTCATTTTCACTGCACCGTTTACTCCAAGTACGACAATTCCGTTATCAGAAGTGTTCATTTGTGCGCCATACAGATGAAGGAATATCATGCGCACATGCAAAAGCTCACCAATAAAACGGGAAGGGCACTCAACAGGGTCGTTTTTAATGTTTCCCATTTCATTGTTTCAGGAGAGCCAACCGCCGGTGGATGATATTGTGGACCCTAAAGCATACAGCATCGAACAAGCCAAGCAGAAAGAAGAATATGATCGACTGATGAGTCTGGCTGAACAAAAGAAGGCAGAAACGCGCCGGAAGGTTACCGAACTACGATTACGTTTCAAACAGTTGAAGGAACAAAACGAGAAACTGCCGGAACGCATTCGGTTGGGAAAGGAGGTAATTTTGTGATCACCTCAGCTCGTCTAATAAATGCCACTAACTGGCGAAATACTATTCGGGGCTATTCTGCTCCTGTACCACAAGACTTAGGTTGAAAAACAAACTACTTTGGCAGTTATCAGGTAGCACGAAGCACCGATCTTCGTCTGATGTGCAATACTTGTTTGCTACATACTCACAAAAGTTCTTACGCTACATAAATATTAACAACAAAGCCTTCAAGGTTCCTTCTGGTTCTTTTCGAGGGACATATCTTCGGCTATTTGTCTGCCGATCCTAGCATGCACGCGCTGCATTTGTAATCCGAGAATCTTTTGTCTAATGTTATAGATAATTCTTACTTTTCCATTGCAGTTGCTCTTGTGGCTCACCAAGCAGTACACAATGCCGGTCACCTGACTGGCTTTTTAGTGTATTTTTGGATTTATTACGTCGGCTGTTGTGAGATCTGTACCTGGTTGTGGAAAGTCCTCCGATATTTTCAGTGGCTGTTTTTCAACTTGTCGTTGGGTCTCATTGACCAATCTCCATCATTCGGTCATCAAGTGCTTCTCCCTATCTAACTTCACAGGAGTTCAACTTGGTCCCACATATACGAGATGACCTGCTCAAGGACCGTAAAGCAAAAATTGACCTGGTTTACAGGGAAACGGCTTGGAATTCAGAAAAATACCTGATAGCTTTAGAAAAGCTGGAAAACGCGTGAGTTATCTGAAAGTTTCATGCAACCTCGGTGACCACGAAGGTATGATGAATGTGGTATACGTGTTCCGCTGTAAGAACAGAAAACACAAATTTTCTGGGCCCATACTGTGTCAACTAGATGATAAATGGGTTTTGGCCAGATGTTGATCATTGATATTCAAATTTCTCTTCCTACTCACCGGTGACTCTAGAAAGGACCTAACGGTCCTCAGAACCAGGCGTTAAAAAGGAAATAACCACAAATTTCTCAAACTCTTTGTTGCGTTTCGGGAGTTTTGCGCGAACTGGAGCTCATCGAGTCGACACAAACAGAAGAGAGGCTGTGCAGAATCATCATCATCACTGTCACCTGTAATAACCGCGTACTCGTCGTACAGTGGTTGTAGCTGCCGCAGTTTCGTTCACCGATGATTTGAGGGAGGGGGGAGGTAGCTGCGCATTGCACGCGCGAGCTGGTAAATTGGTGCATAAATCCAGCACTGTCAGTGGGCTGTCAGGTGGGGGGGAGGGGTTGGAAAAGGAGCTATGCATTGAAGGCAATAGCTTGGATGCACGAGCGCCATTGAGGGCGCAACTGGGTCATGTCTGACAATGTCTCTAGCCATTGATGTGGCCCATCTCGGGGTCCCCATCCAGGAAGACGGCAGTGACCAGCGCAGCTGAGTTTGCTGGTAATGACCTTCATACTTCGCTGCCAAGTCATTGTTTGACCGCCTCTGGTTCTCTTCCACCCTTCACGTGGTTGTGCAGAAAAGTATACTTGCTCGGTTTAACAATAAATCGAATAAAATAAAGCGAACAAGATGAGGACAATACTAATGCGAGTACCTATAGGAACCAACAACATGCAGTCCAGAATCAGAGATTCTCGGTGAATTTTTAAAGGTGCACAGAATAGTACCTCACTGAAGGCAGCACTGAATACCGCCGTCTGTGCTGTGGTACCATTGGGTACCAGTTATGCCATGTGTGCCGAATGCTTCGGTCACATCAGTCACACATGATAGTCATTCCTGAGGAAAATTAAGTTTATTTAAATTGGTTGTGAGGTTGGAGTTATTACAAGTATCAGGCCAGTTCATTCTTTTAGCAACTGCTTTGTTTACATGCGTGAACTGTTCAATTCAGCAATGAACAGTGAAAGGTTTTTGACCGTATTCAACTGAATAACTGTGTAACCAACCACATGTTAGTGTCTATCCAGATCTTAGCGAATGACTGGTCAAGAAAGATCAACTGATTTCAGAAGGACAACTCTTGAAATGAGTCATTTATTAGGACTGTCTATTGATTCACCAAAAAAAACGCACAACGATCACCCACTGAAATGCTCGTCGTAGCGGGCTGTACGTCACAACGGTGACGTAAAAGCCCAGGTTATTGTGCCCTCCTGCGTATTACTGCCTAACTGGATTTACCGTTGAAGAACATACCGCAACAAATGGTGAGATAAATTAGAGTCACATCCTTGATCGTTTTCTCCTAGTTTGTAGTCCGAAGTGCTTGGTGTTTTTTAACTCATAGCTGCAAATGGACAGTACTAGCTTAAAGTTAATTTAGTCGCATCAAAATTGGAAGCCTTCTCAGTCCAGTTAACTGGCGAACAAATGTTACGCAACGGTTAATAAAACTGGTATATACATCTAGATTCTAGATTACGTATAGTTGCTCTGTAGCCCCAAGGGGATAAGTGCGTGAAAAAAATAATAATAAAGCAAGTGTGCATTACACCTCTCATCCGCAACGGTTGGTTTCTGTTTTGTCTCGTGAAGTTTTTGCTTGCCGTCCCGAACTGCACAAAGCTGTGACCTTGTTGCGTACACGAGCACAGAGTGCATGACGTTACAAACTTATATAATTTCAAGGCTGTTCTGGTGGCGGTTCTCAAATAAAAGTTGCGAGGCATCAGTCAAAGCGTGATCCACACAGTTCAGTGAAGCGAGTGATGGTTTTGTCGTGAAATGGCCAGTCAGCTGAAGTACGGTTTAGGTAAATTCAGGTTTCTCGATGGGGTTCGTTAGTTGCCAACCAGAAACCATTAGGCGAAATTCACTACGGGTGAAGTTATGGGGAAAACCTCGGTTAACCTTCCAAGTTTTTCGCCCGATGCATGCAGTTACGTACATGTAGATAGTACGTATATGACTATCCTAACTCAGTTCAAACTGTTGCTTGCAGGAACAGTGAATTCCGTTTCGCACTGGTCAATACGGATGGCTACATTTTGCTTTTCACCGTGTCGGACAGTGGCATGGTGTGATACCCAATAATTTGAGGCCTGTGCAGGGCTGGAAAGCGTAGATTAATCTGGCTAAGAATGACTGATCGACGACAACACGTGTGTGCTGTACTGTGTCTCAGAAGCGCACAAGGTCACCTCGTGTTGGTCCGAATCTCTCATGCCCACGGAAGTTGTCATCTTTTGCGGGCAGCAGCTGTGTTAGGTGTGGTTCATTCAGAAAGCACCCGCAGACATAACTCCCCCTAACTCCAGAAACGCAGATGAGTGGGGGTGATTGAAAGTTAACAATACGTAGAATCTGATATTTAAACTTATACCCTTCACTGATTTTTAAACACAGTTTCCGTAAACCGCTGGACTATGACCGCATAGTTGTCAAATCGTTCGGTACTGGTCACTGTGTCAGTTCACTGCGAACAAACAAATTGGGTGAAGAACATTCAATCGCAAAAGAGGAAATGAAACAGACAATGGCGAAACAAGTGGCCAGAGAAACGAAGTTGGATCTGCGTGGCCCTGTGAACAGTAGGTTGTGGATTTACATTCAAAAATTCATCCCCACTCCTTCGATGTATCGCCTTGGTTTATGACCATCCGATCGCTTGTTACTTCCCTCTTGATTTTGGGAAAATGTTAACGATTATATCCTTTCGTTACAAGTTCTATGCGACAAGGCAATATCACAGTTGCTCGTGCAAATTCAAATGTAATTTCCAACGCTGACAGTCAAATTTAGTTTTTGTGGTTTTATAGCAGCATGCCTTATGAAAAAGCTCCTTGCGCTTAAAGGCATTCTGTTCGTCTCTTGTGAGTGTCCTTTATGGGAGACTTCTGTACACCGTTGGTTGTGTGAAAATATTTGGGATTTTTGTGGAGATTTCGTGTTGTAAGTGAAGCCAATCTATGCTGAAAAGCCGAGAAGCACTGCACAACTGTTTCATCCTTATTGGGAATCATCAGCAGTGCGCATCTCACGAAACTCCGAAGAGTCTCGAACCCGCGACCTCCCGGCTAGTAGTTTGAACACTTAACCGTTCGGCCACGAGTGGCTGATCAGCAGTGTGATTAACTCGCACTTGGACAGGATATAGCGCGGCTCATCCTTCAATCACGGGATCCACATCACTCGGTCACATGTGTTGACTGGCTCCTCGAGCAACTTCTCTTACAGGACGAAATCTCCACAAAAATCCCAAACCTCTTCACACTACCAACAATATATAAGTAGCCCAGTGGAAGAATAAACTTCACCCGATGAGTGGAACTTCTATCTGAGACAGGATATAGCGCCGCTCATCCTTCAATCACGGGATCCACATCACTCGGTCACATGTGTTGACTGGCTCCTCGAGCAACTTCTCTTACAGGACGAAATCTCCACAAAAATCCCAAACCTCTTCACACTACCAACAATATATAAGTAGCCCAGTGGAAGAATAAACTTCACCCGATGAGTGGAACTTCTATCTGAGAAGTCGTTGCTCGAGGAGCCAGTCAACACGTGTGACCCCGTGATGTGGATCCCGTGATTGAAGGATGAGCGGCGCTATATCCTGTCTAAGTGCGAGTCAATCACACTGCTGACCAGCCACTCGTGGCCGTACACTGTACACTGTGTAGCAAGCATAAGGCCCTGAAAATACGAATGATGGTCTCGCATAAAGTTTTTATCAGTCTTGAACAGACTTGACTTATACATAATTTGATCGACTCTCCCCTAACGATTTTACGACAAACTTTTGTTAGGCTGCCGTCGGTTACTGTACGATTAAACAGACGGAACTAGTGATTGTGGCCGTGGCGGTCTACTGTTGAATCCACAAGCTAGTTCAAGGTGCCAGTCAAAATAGTTTGTAGCCAAACTATCGCTTTGGCTCAACTAGGTTTGTCTACATTTTCAGGCCAAGGGACTGTCAAACCGACAATCGATTTCCTCAAATAAGATATTCCTGAACTGAGAACCAAGCGGCACTTCTTGCCTTCGTCGTCAGCGTAGATGAGATTTCTTTTTCTTGCTTGGGACTTTTTTATTAACTCGAGCAGTTTTAATTCCAAGTAGTCCCTGAAGGACCAGAACTGCTCATTAATGTTGAATGATCCCCTCACTCGTCATCTTATGGGCGATTATATTTACGACTTGCATACTCACTAAATCTCTGAGACTAAATAGCCTGAAAAATTCGCTCAGCCGTAAACACCTTTCAGTGCTACCATACCCTTCTTCTTGCTTGGGACTTTTTTATTAACTCGAGCAGTTTTAATTCCAAGTAGTCCCTGAAGGACCAGAACTGCTCATTAATGTTGAATGATCCCCTCACTCGTCATCTTATGGGCGATTATATTTACGACTTGCATACTCACTAAATCTCTGAGACTAAATAGCCTGAAAAAATCGCTCAGCCGTAAACACCTTTCAGTGCCTAGCTACCATACCACCCAAAAGAAGAAGGAGGGCTGAGATACTGTCAGGTTTCCCACACCTAGACAGGAACAGTCGACAAGCAGAGTTCGAACCCCGGAACTTTCAGTCGGTAAGTTCGAGTACGCTATCACCACCATCTAAAAAGACCAGGATTTTCAAGTTCATTGAGTGGTGTGGACATTGCAGAGTTTGAATTACAAGTAATATCTCAAATCCTCCCGGAGGCTTCAACAATCGCCCTACCGAGGCCTTTTAAGATCACATAATGGCCACTCAAAGCAAACATAACAGCCGATTCTTCACAGCAGAAATCCTTGAAATGGAAAACAAGGATAAAAAACAGCTCTACACTCGCGCAGATATGATGCTCCTGACCAGAAATTTTTTTGTTTTAATATTTATTTTAAGAGAGTTCAGTAGGGTCATGCTTTGTTGTTGGCAATTAAAACACGTTTCGTTAGGTTTTGCCGCGATTTTGAGGTGATAAATTCGCATTGAACCGGGCTAGAACGGCAGTTCACCAGTAGAATAAAGCTCATTTATCTGGAGCATCTTTCCCCTGGGGAGCATTTCAGGAGGATATTTTTGGAAATAAATAACAAATTTTTGAAGTATGTTCCTTGAATCTCTAAATTTGTCGTGAAAAGCCTACCTTTGGCTGGGTATCAATGCAATTTTGGTATAGCATTAGATTATAGCATTAAGATAGCATTAAGATTTTTGTTGAATATTACATATTTAACAGTCTGGGTTTCTGGCTGTAATGCTCAAAGGTGAAAAAGTCGTTCAAATACAATGAGAAGTGCAATATTTGCTGCTAACGACTGTGGTTGTTTGACATTTAGGAAAAACAATTAACTCTGTACTAGTGAGTATAGTCTGTCAGCAAGTGAGGAAACGGGTTTGGAACTCCCTGGGGTTTTGTAAGATGCTCACTGTTGATGATTTTCAACATGGACTAAACGGTTGAACAGTGGTTCTTAGCTTTTTAGTATAGATTGGCCTTATTTACAGGACAAAATCTCAGTTAGGAAATTGGATCGGCAACTGGAAAAAGAGGGACTTCGCATTGCCAAAATAAAGAAAAGGGTAATGAACAATAAAGATCTATAAAACCATGCTCACTGTATTTTTATTTGGCTCACAATTCCATCCAAGCATTTGAATTTCCTTGTTTTAAAGGTAAATAGACCGTGAGCCAAGGTAAGTTTGAACAAGGCTTAGGAAGATTGAAACCCATCGAAATGGATAGTTTGATCATTGTTCTTATGTTTTTTTATTGCGAGAGATAGCTCATTGTCCTTTGTGCCACAATAGACCAAATTTTCCGAAGTTGACAATCAACGCATTCTCTTTCCAGGGCATTCGTCTATTCAGGATCTGAACCCTGACCAGACCACAACTAGTTCAGATAGCAGCCAGCAGCAGTTGAAAGGAGCTCGCGGATTGCGAGTTGCTCGCAAGCTTCACGCGCTTGAGGAGGCACAACGCAGACGGGAAATAAGACGACAGCAGGCAAGTTCATGACGTCTTTTCAAAACGTATCCTAGTTATAGTGGGCCTGGTTTTGAATATGATCAGTCTATTGTGAAATAGCCGCATGACATTAGAGAAAATTTCTGGCTGAAAATTCAGCAGACAGGCTAAACATGTTTTTGTGACGAACTGACTCTGTTAAATAACTTTTAATGGATCCAGCTGCTCGTTATTAAGTCACGTTACTGTATCTCCCTTATTCAACTGTTACACCCTCTGGTAACAAGGAAGAAAAATTTCGTTTTGATAAAAGCAAGTTTCTCTAGCTGGTTTTCGGTGAAGGCAAGCATCACCATTTTAGAATGATTACTGATTTACCAAATTAATTCGAATGAAACTAAATGAGGAGATCAGTTACTCTCTAATGTTTGCCCTCTGCACCAGTTATTCGCATCAAGATTTCATGATAATATAAGTTTTATTTCGTGAAAAGTAGCATTTGCCACAAATTTTCATGTCGTTATTCCAAACAAATTAAATAGTGGTTGTGCACAACCACAAACCCATCGATACGCCTCACTAGGCACCTCAACAGCGCACTGATGATGTCACCTTGATTGGTGAGAAACGTTTGTAACAACCACAAACCCATCGATACGCCTCACTAGGCACCTCAACAGCGCACTGATGATGTCACCTTGATTGGTGACGAAACGTTTGTAATCGAATTTCCCTGCACAGCGAACAAGCCAAAGAATATCTATGCTACTTGAGCTACCAACATTATCCCCACGAGTAGTGTCTGTTTGTTGCTCGTTTGGCTTCCCTAGGTTTTTCTTAATCTTTTTGCCTGAAATGTCATTGTCTTACTGATGTAGAAATCAGGCAAAGTGGTGGGATAGTGTATCCCCTGCGATGTTGTTTCAACCAAGTCATTCATCGGCCACAACCGCAGCTCGATAGTGCGACCAAGAGAATGACGGATGCTCCAGGTGTGATGAGAGATTTTGGTCAAGTGATGACTTCAAAGTACCACTACGTATTATGATGAGTGGATTTTTAGCACAAAACTCCCCGACGATTACGCCGTTTCGTCAATAAAACCGTTCACGGGAAATTTCTTGTGTGAATGTTGGTTGGTGAATGGCTCTCCACAAAATTCGCTTACATTTTATTTGCCCTCGATCCATATTGAGAGGTACTGATATTATTTGAAGTGATCCCACTCGATTCCAAGAAAACCCATCCCCATGAGACCTTAGTTCTCTATTCCGATTCATTAATTGGGTGTGGGAGAGATTGGACCTTTGCTTGGCGGTTTCCGGCTGTCGGCCAATGAGCTACATGGTCTATAGCTGTGCTCCACCTGACAAGTCCTTATAAGAATGAGACACTTCCAGTGGCCGAGCTCTTCGTATCGTATGATGCGGGATTACACTCCACGGCACTTGAAAGATCTTTAAAGTGAGTGATTGACTGTATAAAATCTATGACGTCTATTTAAATGTCCAGAAAGAAAAAAATGTGGAAGCGGAAGCGGAAGCCAAAAACCTCGTTGATTGTGTCACGTACAATGTATGCTTGTGATCATGGAAGTCAAGATGAATGTATGTTACCAGCATGATCTATTGACGGTGCAGTAAAAATGTAGGAAGTAGTCGATCTGTCTTGTTAGGTCATCGGTTAACTAGCCGATTTTATCTACTGGAATTAACTGATCCACAGAGCTAGATTGGTTCCAGTTGAAATAGTATTCTGATACATCGTGTCCTGTGAGACGAGGATGATGCAGGTACGGTTGCTGTGTTATGCAGACAACCGGTGCTTTTGGGTAGTTCTTCACAGCTTCAACGAGCTACGAATTTGGGATGCGCATAATTTACATACGTATTATTGACAACCAGAACTACTGTTAACTCCGCTCTATTAGAAAACAGCCTGATCGACTTTCATTTTTGCTTCGTATCTCTGCAGAAGGAAAACCAACAACAGTCCCTGTTTCCGCTAGTTTCCGTAGACCACTGTCATGGTGGGTCAGATCAACTATCTCAAGACTGCTTTACCAGTCATAAAGCTTGTTGGGCGCGAGAATACCAAACTTTGCCAAATAAACGTGTGTCGTTCTGTAGTGCTTAGAAGCGTAGTCCAGATTGCCTAATTCTATCGTTTGTTCCATTCACTCTCGTCTACTCTCCGTGTTATAGTGGGAACAGCTGGACGCCATGAAACCGGTGGCTGATTACGAGGACCCCGAAGACTTAGAAGCCATAGCTGCAGCCAAGGAAAATATGGGTGATTTCAAACTCAAATCTTCACAAAACTACATCGTGGCTGATCGGTCAAAGCTAAACGCAGTTGGCGCCAAGTATCGCCTGATTGAAATGACCGAAGAGGTGAGCTGACAAACCAGACTGTGACTATTCAATTCAACTTCTCTCTCATATTCGCTCAGTATGCTTAGAATCTGAGTAACACAACTGCTAGATTGTTTAATCTGGATCATGTTCTTATGCGTGAATCAGACACTCTTGCAGAACTCCTGTCGAAGCGACTGTGATCCGGAACCGGAAGCGGCGTAAACCTCTCCTTTTTGCTAATTTGGTTGCTGTTTTACATGGTTTACGGATGAAAGAATAGCGGGTCTCAACACAGGGGCTGTAACTGCTGACACAAACATGCTAGCCCAAGAAGATTTTGAAACTCGGTACACAAAAAGCACAGGTTACCCAAGAAAAAGTAATTCCTGCGTCAGAGAAATATTGTGGATGCCCACTGTGGAACGTGACGAGATGTGTTCACATGTTCCGCGTACTTACTTCAGAAGCTGCATCTGTTGAATCTCATTGGAAGCATATATTTAGAGTTACTTGGAGCACAGTGAACTGTTCGAGTCGAAGGCCTAAGTCTTCTCACTCGATCCTCACCCACAGCAAGCCATCGGTGGGTTAAAATAGAATGCCAGCCAGTTCAGTAGACAGGCCGTTAACAACAGGCCCCTACGTGTATAGTACGGATCTTTCCGCTTGTTGAAGACAAACGACAACATGGAGCCTACATAAACTGTGATCGTACTAGAGCTTCAAGACTCGTCAGTATACACCAAAAAAACTTTTATGATCTGGTAAGGGTATTTTCATCAACTTTACAAGAGAAAGGATGGTACTCATGTAAAAATGGAACAATTTACCTTTATAAAATGGTATGAATAATATCATGTATTGTGTATCATGAATATTAGTATCATGTATGCAGCATCTCCCTTCGCAAACGAGTGGAAATTTTCGGAGGAACAGGACACTTATGGAGCAGCTGTAAGCTCTTCGACAGCTTACTATAGGTTTTGATTTTCTTGGAGCTCATCAGATAGGCGTATTCTCCAAGTTTCTGTCAACCTTATGTTCTACTTAAATCCAAATTGTACACCATTTGCACTCAACTGAATCTCGACTTAGTCCCTCGTTTGTGATATTTTTCCTCAAAGGAATATGCTGCACAAAGACTGGCTCATGTTTAATTCGGTACAATGACCGGTGAGTGGACTACTCATATTACTCCCGAATTCCGTACCCAATGAAACATGGGTGACCTCGTACAACAATCTCGGTTAGAGAGGAACATCGTAAGCCAAAGTTTCAATCGGCTTCACTTGAGACTCCTGTTAAAATTATATATATATATATATA